TTTGTGGTGCAGGGGTTTGAAACCTGGACCTTGTACATAACAGGCATGCATTCTGCCCCAGTCCCTGTCTGTTGTGTTCAGCTGTTTCCCCTTCAGGTGCAGCCCTCTGCTTCTTAGAGCTTGTTTCTAATTGATCTGTCATGGTGGTGCATGCTCATACTATCAGCATTAGGCAGGAGGATTACCATACATTATAACTTAGTTTAGGTCACATACCGAGTTCCAACTTGTTCTGGGCTGTACAGAATGAGCTCTTGTTGTGAGAACAAAATCGCCTATTCTGATTCTACATAGAACTTGATGTAGTAAATTCTATAAAGATGGGCTTGCAGTACAGCTTCCTCTACTTCTAGGGGATGGTCAACAAAGGGGCAGGTTTAGATTTTCTTTAATTTCATGAAGGGTGAATGTGTGGTACACACATGTTGAAGGTCAGGGGCCAAGTTCTTGGAGTCTCTCTTCCCACTGCTACGTTTTCTGGAGATTGAACTCAGGCTGTCAACCTTGCACAGAAAACTCTTCAACCTACTGAGCCCTCTCACTGGCCCTGTAGTTTCATTTTTGTAGTGCTGGGAAGCAAATGAAGGCCAGCATTCTGCCATTTAATTGCACCTTACTCTATTTTGTAGTTTCTATAAATTTAAATTTTTATTTACTTGTAATATAGTACTAAAATTTTACTTGACTACTATTCTGGCTCTGCCTTCAAAAAAAATTCTTTAGGTATGGCTCAGGGGATAAAGACGCCTGCCACCAAGCAGGACCAGTGTTCAATTCCCAGGAATCATGCTGTGATAAGAGAGAGTCTACACAATTTGTCCTGACTGCCACATATGCATTGTAGCTTTCACATACATTGCATGAATAAATGTTAAAATATAAGAGATAAGTATGACCCCAATAATAGCATCAGTAAGTGTTTGAACAGGTCTGTAAAAACATTTAAGTTTCACAATTTTAAAACATTTATTATGTCCATGACAAGCATGAGTTCAGAAGACTATCTCTGCTTTAGCCATTTAGTGCCAAGTCTCAATTTTATAATAAGAAAACAATAAAAAATAATTCTTGAACGACTTTGATGTTTTGTTTTATTTCCTCCCCTTCTTTGAGGCAGCTTGAAACTCACAATGTATTTTGTGCTGACTCAGTTACTTTCATGAGCCAAAAAGTCTGGTGAAGTTAAACGTTTTCTCCAAGATATAGTTCACTTGAGTTTGAGGAGCAGAATATAAATGGAGCAGAAGAAAAGGGTTTCCTTCTGACCACCACCAGGTGGCATCAGTGATCCAAACCCACAGATACTCGTTTGTGAGCAATACATGAAAGTGTGGGTTAAATGTAGACCTTCCCTCCCTTTAGTATGGAGGCCTTTATAAGTTGTGTGTTTATAAGGCAGTGGGTAGGACACAGAAATAACTCTTTCTTCCTTGTCTAGTAACTTTCCTTCCTTTTGCTTTCTGTGGCCTAACTTCCTCAGAACTAGCTACCATGTATCTCTCACTGACTATGATACTGGTTCTTGCTTTTATAACACTTGGGTCTTGCTGTAAACCACAATAGAAAATTGATAGACTTTAAATTGTGGCAGAGACTTGTTCTGCCTGTGACTAGAATGTGACTGGGATTCCTGGGCACCAGCAGTGATGCTTTTAAAGTTCAAACTGCTATGAAAGAAGCACTATACATTGATTGTACAGGTGGGACTGTTCACTCTGCCATGCTGACTTGCTCAGAGTGTGGAACAGAGCACTCAGCTCTTGCTTCCCTTTAGATCATGAGAGTATGTTGTATTGAAGTTTGGTACTTGGTGCTGAAGCCTTTCTTCAAACTGTTTTTAGAAAGCTGCTTGCTTTATGACGAAGTGCCATTCCTTGTGGTATTTTGTGTTTTTCTTGCTCTCATTTTTGCCTTGAAATAAAAGCATACTAAGTTACAGTGTGTGAATACTCACTCATTCTTTTTGTAGTATGCAGTAGTGAGCGTGAAGCAGGCTAGGCAAAAATGCCCCCTTAGTACAAACTGCATCCATGAATAGCAGTGGGAGTCTGGTTATGGGAACCTCCACAACCTGCTCACTCCTGTGCTGTTTCTGAGTAGGCTTCTGTCCGATGCTGCACAGGATTGGGACACACATACAGTAGTTAAAAGTCTATGGGTTGGTTTTGTGACTGACTTTTCTCTATCCCTCACCCCCACAGTGGTACTTTGAGTGGAGCTTTTGACTCATTCCTAAATCTTCTAAAGTTTTAAGTTTTCACATACCTCCCCCATAACAAGGAAAGGTCAATTTAGGCCACCTGTGGCACACATTCGTCTATATTCCCTGAGGCTGCGGGTGGGTAATCTCAGAGTTACAGGCAACCATACTAGGCTGTATATTTAGCAAGGTTCTACCTGCCCCCCCCCCCCAAAGAAAGTATAATTCTGGCTCTGGGACAGTCTTCTAAACTTTAACTTGTATCGCGTATTCCTCTCTTTTCTTCTTTTCTCTGTCTCTTTCTGTCCCTGTCTCTTTCCTGTGGTATTTTTTTTTCTCGTCCTTGCATTTTCTTATTGTATGTACTGTACAGCAGTGAACCTCCTACCTCAGTCTCCCAGTGTTGGGGGCACAACTCCCAGCTGTGAGTTTGTAGCTCAGCACATTTAAACATGTTTTTGAAAAATTAGTGGTTGATATATTAACAGGACTTTGTTTATGAACAATGTTGCAGCTTTGCATAGAGATAAATATGACCTCTTCTAAGTACCTGGTAGTCTGCTTTGTGTTTTCAGTTCCTTTTAGTTAAAGAAATCTCAGGATCCTAACTATTTGCTATTTTGTTGGAATCTCTCTTCCTGAAAGTATACTTGAGTAAATTAATTTTTTTGGTTGTTTTTCTCTTTATAGTTTTGGTTTTTTAAGAGACTTTCTCTAGGCTGTACTGGAACTCTCTCTGTAGATCAGGCTGACCTCAAACTTAGATTCACCTAACCCTGCCTTCCAAGTGCTGGAACTAAAGATTTGTATCACTACTCCTGGCCAAGTAAATTCTTAAAAAGATTATTTTGGGGGGCTGGAGAGACGGCTCAGAGGTTAAGAGCATTGCCTGCTCTTCCTAAGGTACTGAGTTCAATTCCCAGCAACCACATGGTGGCTCACAACCATCTGTAATGGGGTCTGGTGCCGTCTTCTGGCCTGTAGGCATACACACAGACAGAATATTGTATACATAATAAATAAATACATACATACATACATATTTTTAAAAAATATTATTTTGGTTGGGGTGTGTGAGTGAATTCACCTGAGGGCAAGTGCCCTCAGAGTCCAGAAGAGGGTCTCAGATCTTCTGGAGCTACAGTTACAAGTGGTTGTGGGTGTTGGTAACTGAGGCCAGGTCCTCTGCAATGCAGAGCTATCTTTCCAGCTTCATAAACTAACGTTTGTCAACAACTGATAGAGCTATCAGAAAGTAATGAAACTAGCTATTTAAGGCTGTTTATGGGGTGTTGAAGATGAACCGTGTCTTGTTCTCTCCTAAAAGCTTTATCCAGAGTACAGCCCCAGTCTTCTGCTGCTCTGAAGGCTCTCTGTGTGCATTCTTGTCCCTTATGATAGCAGCAGAGATATCTGCTGGTGAGGTAGGCAGCTTTTTGCTTTGTGTGCATGGTACACATTCATGTTCATACCCCTCATTTGGGAAGAGAGTAGGTTAGGGCTAGTTAGCCCTGCAATGCTCTCCCTAAAATTTCTTGCTCATATGTATTACTTTGGCAGTTCCTTGACCCTTAGGGATACTACGCCAGAGCAGTACCAGATGAAACCCCTGGAATAGTCTTTATTTGTGGAACTACTCTAGACCTTAATGCTGTTTTCTTGTCCTGCTCTTTGTAGCAACTTGTCATAAGGGTCAGGGCAAAAGAGTTTGGGAGCTTGTGGTCTCTGGCGGAGCAAGTCAGAAACATTCCTGTGTTATATGTGTGAGTGTGAACATTTAAATGTGCACCTTTATCTACAGAGCAATCCTAATGCTGTTTAGCTCTTTTTAACTTCCACTTGTAGAGCTTTTCTTTTCCTTAGCGGTAAGATTAGCTAAGCTTGGTGATGTCACAAACTTAGAAGCCAGGCTCAGGGACACTAGAAGGAGTGGTGAGCCTGCTGGAGACAGGCAGTACTGCAGAATCTGCGCTTCTTAAGGTGGTATTGAGGGGAATATATTGGAAAGGGAAGGGTCACTCAGAATGGTTTAACTTACCACATGTATTATCAGAAGATAAGGTTGCTATGGACCCTGCACAGAGACCTAAACTTACAAAGTTAAAACCATTCTTCCTAATCACACATGACTGCACTTGCTTGTCATCCCTGCACTGTATTGGTACAAGTTCAAGGACAGCCTGGGCCATCTAGGACTACACAGTAAGACACTGTCTAAAACAAAACAAAAAAATCCACAGAAACAAAAAAGAACTAATAGTATTTGGCTTTAAATACTTCAAAGTGTGTCTTTTTTTAAATTGTCTTTATTGAGAATGTGGGTTTTTTGGGGGGGCGGGGTGAGACAAAGCTTCTCTGTAGGTTTGGTGCCTGTCCTGGAACTAGCTCTTGTAGACCAGGCTGGCCTCGAACTCACAGAGGTCTGCCTGCCTCTGCCTCCCCAGTACTGGGATTAAAGGTCTGCCTGCCACCCCCTGGTAAGCTATATATTTTTCTCTGCTACCCTTCCTTCCTCCCTTCTCCCATTCTACCCTCTACCCTGCCCCCCACACTCCCTATTTGCTGTCAAAGATGTGTCTTAATTGTGGATCTATTCCGTGAAAGAGAACTTGAGCCCACTGCTAGCTTGAATGCACTCACTCAGTATTTCACAACATGAAGTGATGAGAGGAAATGCCTTTACTAGTCACCTGTGCTGTTGTTGACTGGCTTATTGTTAGTTATTTAAATAGCAGAAATTCATTTTCTCATAATTACTGGTCTGTATCTTAGTATTGCCTGTTCGTTGTCATTTTCACAGATGCTTTTACCGACTCTGCTGTCAGTGCCAAAGTGAATGGCGAGCACAAGGAGAGGGACCTGGAGCCCTGGGATGCAGGGGAGCTCACGACCAGTGAGGAGCTGGAAGCCCTGGAGAATGATGTGGTGAGTGCCATCCGTGATGGCCCAGCGTGCTTGGTAGACCCAAACTATCAACAGGTCTGTGTCCTAGGGAGCACATGAAGAGCAAAGAATAAGAATAAAAAAGCATTTCTTTTGTCTTCTTGGTTTTTGTTGTTGTTGTTTTTGTTTTGTTTTTCAAGACAGTGTTTTGCTGTAGCTTTGGTGCCCATCCTGGAACTCACTCTGTGGACCAGGCTGACCTCACACTCACAGAGATCCACCTGCCTCTGCCTCACGAGTGCTGGGATTAAAGGTGTGTGTCACCACTGCCTGACTTTGAAAGGCATTTTTTCTAGACTTGAGAGCTCAGCACTCATAAAATTACTTCTTTGTGATAAAATAGTGATACGCAATTTACTACTGGAAACTAGAAGAAGTTAGGAGATGACAGCCTGTTTTCTTTTGAATGCCTGTAATATAAGCAGCCTAAGGCAGGTAGTGTTTAACTGTGTGTTGGCTTTTCTAGAGATGAAGTTGGCCTTTTTGTCTGAGAAAAAGAAAGTTATTAAGATAAAATTTTAGGTTGGGTGCGGCATCTGTGGTGTCAGCACTCAGGAGGTAGAGGTAGAAGGGTTAGGAGGGTTAGGATCAGCCTCCACTACAGAGAAAGTTTGAGGGTAGCCTGACCTCACAAAAACAAACAAACAAAAATTAAATCAGCTAGTAGTGCTGTTACCTTCTTTAATCCGAGGAGGTAGAAATAGACAAGTTTGTCTGTCTACACGGCAAGTTTGAGGCTAGCCAGAGCTAACCAGTGAGGCCCTGCCTTGGGGCGGAAAAATAGCAACCACAAAAGATAAATAATTATGTTACATTAAAATTAAAGCATTGCCTAAATTCCTTGAATTTAAATTAGCATTGTTCTCTACAGAAACTTGTTTCTGAAATGTGTGTTCATCTTGTTTTTGGTTTTCTTCCAACTTGTCATCTCATGTCGTCAAGATGTTATGATAGAACATAGAACTTTTTCAACTTTATTTTATTTTAGGTGTATGGGTGTATTGCATGTATATCTGTGCACATACGCCTTAGAGGCCAGAAGAAGGTATCAGATCCCCTAGAATTGGAGTTACAGATAATCGTGAGTTTCCATATGGATGCTGGGGATTGAGCCTGGGTCCTCTGGAAGAGCACTCAGTACTTATAAACACTGAGCCATGAATAAGGTTAAGTGAGCAGAGAACCTTGTACTGTGAACAGAGAACCTGAATTTTCTATCTAAGGCATAGTAATGTAGTAAATAGTATCTTCTCCTAAGAGCTCAGCTGGCTAATAGAATAGAACTTCCCTGGATGGCTATCATGGTTAATCTTCAAGCTTTCAAGATTCACCTAAACTTACTATAATGGTTCTCAAATGTGTATCACTGCCCTTTGTGATGGGAAGCTGGTACACTTTTTACTCTGCTAAGGGGATAAGTTACTTGAGGTTTTGTGGAGAGAGTAACACTGTTTATCATAATTTAAAATATAACCGTGATTTATTCTATCACTATTACTACTAAGAATTCACTTAGATGATTGTGGTGGTGCATACCCTTAGTCTCAATACCTAGGAGGCAGAGGCAGTTAGATTCTGTAAGTTCAAGGCCTGCTTGGGCTACACTGTGAGACCCTGTCTTTTTAAGAAAAAGAAAATGTATAAATTAAAAATAGAAGATTTACCTTGGTCCTAATATATCTATAATACATGCAAATAATTATGTTTCAGGCTAGTTTTATTATTTCTGTTAGTAGGTACCGTACCCATTATGAAATCATGAATTAGTATTCAAATAGGAAAGATACCCAGTATACTTATTAACAGAAAAATCAAGTTTCAGAGTAGCAATAGTGTATTTAAACTAAAAAAAAATACATATTGTGTGTGTGAATGAGTTTATGTACACATAAAGACTAGAAGAGGCCATCAGATTCCCTGGAGCTGGAATTGTCGGGTGTTGAGAGCTGCCATGCAGGTGGTGCAAATCCAACCTCATTCTTCTGCATGAGTACTGGATCTCTTTTGTTGTTGCATTTATTTTATTTTACTATTATTACCTTTTTATTTTATTTATTTATTTATTTATTTATTTATTTATTTATTTATTGCTGTGAGGATTAACCAAAGAATTTATTCTGATTGAATGTCATAGTTATCAGTAGAGACATAAGGCTGGGCTAGGCTTCTGCCAGTCTTGACAAGATGATTTTTTTTTCCTTAATGCATTTTTTATAGATACTTATTGAGCTCTACATTTTCTCTGCTCCCCTTCCTGCCTCTCCCCTCCCCTCTTCAACCTTCCCCCAAGGTCCCCATGCTCCCAATTTACTCAGGAGATCTTGTCTTTTTCTACTTTCTACTTCCCATGTAGATCAGATCTATGTAAGTCTCTCTTAGTGTCCACATTGTTGTCTAAGTTCTCTGGGATTGTGGTCTGTAGGCTGGCTTTCTTTGCTTTATGTTTAAAAACCACCTATGAGTGAATACATGTGATAATTGTCATTCTGTGTCTGGGTTACCTCTCTCAAAATAATGTTTTCTAGTTCCATCCATTTTCCTGCAAAATTCAAGCTGTTATTTTTTCCTACTGTGTAGTACTCCATTGTGTAAATGTAGCACTTTTTCCTTATCCATTCTTCAGTCGAGGGACATTTAGGTTGTTTCCAGGTTCTGGCTATGACAAACCAAAGCTGCTATGAACATAGTTGAGCACATGTCCTTATGGCATGATTGAACATCCTTTGGATATATACCCAAAAGTGGTATTGCTGGGTCTTGAGGAAGATTGTTTCTAATTTTCTGAGAAATTGCCACACTGACATCCAAAGGGGTTGTACCAGCTTGCATTCCCACCAGCAATGCCTATTACTTTTCTTTAGACAAAGTTTCTTAGTTGTTAGGTTTTTTTGTTTGTTTTAGACTAAGTTTCTCTTTGTAACACTGACTTGCTCTGTAAACTTGGCTGTTCTTGAAATCAGATCCATCTACCTCTACCTCCTGAGTCCTAGGATTAAAGGCTTGTACCACCACACCTGACTTAGCAGTAAGAGCTCTTAATCTTAAAACCTTTGTCTTAAGCTTGAGAAATTCCTAATAGTTGTTACTTACGTGCCTTGAAATTTGAAGATGTTTAGTTTTGGTGGATATTTTTCTGTTTAGTATGGTGTATCATTGAGATTTTAGAAGTCATAGTCTTCCAATTTAAAAAAAAAATGAGAAAGAGAGAGAATGAATACACATGTGTACCGTGGCATGCATGTGGAGTCCTAAAGATAGCTTGTGGGAGTTAGCTGTCTTCCTTCACCACATCCTCTGGAAAAGTAATGTGTGTTCTTGACCACAGAGCCACCTCTCCAGCTTTAGCCTATCAGGATTTCAAAGGAGAATTGGACATGGGAAAAGTGTGTGGCAAGTCATCTATTGATACTTGTCTCTGGAGATTCTTTTGTATTTGCCCAGTTCTTCCAGGTTGAAGAATGCAGCCCATGTTTTGAGAGTGGCAGTTCCCTCCTTCACTGATGGAGGGTAACAGTGTTGAGGTTGGAAATTAGGTGTGTGGCGCCCCTAACTGTTGCTGAGATCCCTTCTGTAACTGTTCATGGCAAACAGTTCTAAACATAGCTTGTGTGGCATTATCCCATTTGCCTTCCCATTGCTTTATGCTGCCCTTCCTCACCTGTCTAGGGGAAGGGCAGTGAAAGGGCACAGTATTTTCCGGCATGGAAATCCAGTAGGAAAGATTTTGACTGCGTTTTCTTTCCCACATGCTTTTGGCTATCTCAGTGCACCTCTTGTTCTTCTAGGACCCAGTTTAGCGATGGAAGTTGTGGGGAAGGCTGTTAGCACAACTGAAGGGGAGAACTTTGACCCAGAGGCCCTGGATTCATAGGCGTGGCTGATGGTCTAAGTTTTTCTCATATTCTCAGATAACCTACTAATCTACGAGGACAATTGGTGTCAGAAGAGTTTTTTTCTAAAGAGTTTTTTTTTCAAATAGGGCCTTTTTTACTGTAGCCCAGACTGTCCTTGAACTCAAAACACCCTCCTGTCACGGTCTTCTAAGAACTGATGTGGCAGGTATGAGCTATGTCTAGCTTTCTTTCAAAGATTTCTAAAGGCAAGTTTGGTGTTTGTGGAAGAAAGGGGTGGGGTTAGGTCCAGCCAGTACAGTTTTAGGTCCAGCCAGTACAGTTTGTTATATGTTTTTGCAAAAATTGGTTGTAGCTGAATTAAAAATTACATTTTGAAAAATGATCTTCATTTTCCTTCTAGTCTAATGGATGGGATCCCAATGATATGTTTCGATATAATGAAGAGAATTATGGTGTAGTGTCCACATATGATAGCAGTTTATCTTCATATACGTAAGTTCACAAAGTTCTCTTTTATTCTAGCTAATTTGTCTTCATTGGCTTAAATTATATTATTGAATAAATGTTTCTGTTTTATTTTACATTACACATCAAAACAAAAACAAAAAAAAAAAACTGTTGCTGGTGGCACACCTTTAGTCCCAGCACTCAGGAGAAAGGCAGGCGGATCTCTGAGTTCAAGGCCATCCTGGTCGACAGAGTGAGTTCCAGCTTGGCCAGGACTACACAGAGAAACCCTGTCCCAAAAAAAACAAATGAATGAATAAGTAAAAAATGTGACATTTGTTTTTGTTAACTATTTAGACTGACAAACTCACATTAAAACAAGGGATAAGTTTTTATTTTATGGTCAAAATACATTTTGTCTTTTTAATTTGTAAAAATTAAATTTACAGGAATAGGGTTTGCACGAACTATTTCTTGAAATAGTAAATGTTCTATGTAACCAAAAATGCATATTTTGATTTATGATAACAAGCCCCCTTACTTTGACAATGTCTCTGGTGACCCCATTCTTTAAACTTTCTTAATAGTTGTATATGATCCATAACAGAAGTATGACATTGAAACGATCACTCATGTCTTCTTTTCTTTGTGTTTAGGGTTCCCTTAGAAAGGGATAACTCAGAAGAGTTTCTAAAACGGGAGGCAAGGGCAAACCAGTTAGCAGAGGAAATCGAATCCAGTGCTCAGTACAAAGCTCGTGTGGCCCTTGAGAATGATGACAGAAGCGAGGAAGAAAAATACACAGCGGTCCAGAGAAACTGCAGTGAGCGTGAGGGGCATGGCACAAACACTAGGTATTTAAAGAAAACCCCAATGCAGTGTTTTAGACAAATTCACGGACTGTGTGAGAAGATGTAGTCCAATTGTTTCCTCTTTCATGAAGCTTAGGTAGAAAATGCTGATGGGTTTGGCATAAGATTCTTTTAGAGAAAAGGTCATGGTCATCTTGATATTATTTTGGGGGATACAGCTCTCTGGAGTCAAGTGTTGAATATAAGAGGACCCAGCCCAGACACTGAAGAGCTCCTTAAAACAAGGGTCAGAGGGACTCAGTGACCTGGTGGTACTACACTCTGGTTTGCAGGGTAAAAGTCTGTTCAAGAGCCTCACCAGGAGGTGACATTTTTGATAAAATAATGGGGCCTGTTTGCCACTTGCAGTGTAGGAATTTATTTTTCACCTCTGCAGAAACATGAGCCTGTAAGAGAGTCTGGCCTCTTTAGGTGGAAGCTAAGAACCCAGGGACAGTATTTTGGATGCCATAGTACAGGTGGCAGAAGTATTTGTATGCCATATTTGAAGAGTGACTTGTTGGTAACAGTGAGGGAAAAACACGCTCTGAGTCAGAGAGCCCTTTCTGTGTGACAGTGTACAGCTGAGAGAAAGTAGATAACTGCTAGACTGACTCACTGTGAGAAGGCTGGAAACCAGGGAGGCTTGAGCCTTACTTGGAAATTCACCTTTTCTGATGGTTGTTCTGAGAGCACGTGAGCTAGAAACAGTGTGAAGTAAACTTGGAGAAATGATGACTCAGTGGTTTTGTGCATTTGCGGGACTTGTGTGTCTCTCATTTATTCATAAACATGTTGAACATCTGCCACATTGTGGGTAAAACACGAGCTGCATCCTGTCTTCAAGGTTTCACAGCTGAGGTTTGTGACTTTTCTAATCATCATGGAGTGTCAGGGAGGTGAAAGTTAGCACAGCTTGTTAAGCTGCTGGCGGGAGGCAACCCAGAGCCATGAGGCCGTGTGGTGGCGGCTCCTCTCCCTAGTGTACCTGTAAGAGTATTTTTTGTTTTGTTTTGTTTCTTTTTTGGTTTCTTCAAGACAGGGTTTCTCTGTAGCTTTGGAACTTAAGTGTATTTTGTTAACCCCATATTTTTTTTTTTAGCATAAATGACTTATAGGGTCTCTTATTTTCAGAGAAAATAAATATATTCCTCCTGGACAAAGAAACAGAGAAGTCATATCCTGGGGAAGCGGGAGACAGAGCTCACCACGGATGGGCCAACCTGGACCAGGCTCCATGCCATCAAGAGCTGCTTCTCATACTTCAGATTTCAACCCGAACTCTGGTTCAGACCAAAGAGTAGTTAATGGAGGCAAGTATTTTGACCAGATTTGTTAATATTATTGATCAAATATAGAGATATCTAAATATTTTAAGAGTTTACATAGTGGATAGGAGTGTGCATGCCATATTTGGATTTTGTGGGGTAGTTTTTATTAATGTATAACTTAGTTTTGTTTTGTGGCTATCAGATAGTATAACATCATATATGTCTTTGGTACATTTAGAGGTACAATACGGTCCTGAGCTGTTGCATCTATCTCATACTCATTTGGTCTAAAAACACCAGTTTCAGGTGTTGAGGTTAGAATGGTGCAGGCTGGATGAGGAGGCTCACATGTGAGGCAGAGGGGTGAGCAGTCAGTCCAGTCTAGGCTACAGAGGGAGTTTGAGGCCAGTCTAGGTCATGTGTGACCTCATTGTAAAGAAAGGAAGGGAGGAGAGGAATTTCAGATTGTGAAAACAAGGCATGATAACTTTCTAATTTTATCTCCAGAATTCCTCTCCAAGTAAACCCTCTTGAGTATTTTCTCTACCTGGTAATGGTGGAAATTTCTTTGCTCACTAAGTAAAGATTTTCAGTTAATGAACAGATTTTATCGAGTTAAAAATTTGAAGGGGGCTGAAAAATGTGTGATACACAAGTGTGTGGAGCCCCCTGGAACTATGCACCAGGGAAAGGACCACACAGTGCCTGGCCTGTGCCCTGCAGTTTGCAGTTCTTAGCATTGGTATAGCAGGCTATAAATGCATGGGGCCCTTTCTAGTGTGTTGAAATAAGATTTGTTTTACAAAAGTATCCAGTGCTGTTATTCCAGCATTCTAGAAAACAGTAGAAGGTTTTATTTCTACCTAAATGGGACTTGGTTAATAATAAGCTTTGAAACTGACACTTAGGTTCAAATGTAGAACTTGTGAAAATCTCAGGTGAATATAAGAAAATGACTTTTTACATTAGATTCAGTAGCTACTATTTCTTTTTATTGTTCAGAGCTTAAACCAGTAAAGCAGATGGCCTTCCTGAGCAGGAGTTATTGTGTTTATTGAGGGAAATTATCTGTGTTTGTGACATTCTCTTCACAAGTGATGGCTGACAGTGGCTGATGAAGTGGGGCTACTAGGCAGAGTCTTAACTGTCTTCTTCAGTAGTATGTGTAGATCCTAATTAACCCTTTGGGAACGTGGATTCATTTAAACAGACTTAATTTTAAGGAGGTTAAAGTAAAATGTGAATTTGTGTCAGTTAAGTTATGCTAAAACTTATCACAAATCAAATGACTGTCCTCAAAGGGTTAAAATGTACAAGAAATCATTTTTGTCATTTTACTTTTTTTTTCTGTTTACTTTTTCCCTCATTTTTTTCTTTAGTTTTTATACTTTCCTTCATATCATTTGTTCTGTCAGGTGTTCCCTGGCCATCGCCTTGCCCATCTCCTTCCTCTCGCCCACCTTCTCGCTACCAGTCAGGTCCCAACTCTCTTCCACCTCGGGCAGCCACCCCTACACGGCCGCCCTCCAGGCCCCCCTCGAGGCCATCCAGACCCCCGTCTCACCCCTCTGCTCATGGTTCTCCAGCTCCTGTCTCTACTGTGCCTAAACGCATGTCTTCAGAAGGTACAATACCACGATTTGTTCATGTTTTTGTTTGTCTTTGTTTAACTCCTTTGTGAGTTTATGATTACAAAATAGTTTCCTCTTCATTATTTATTAACCTATAATTTCTGTGTTTTAACTTTAGTTTATTAAAAACTATTTCTATTACCCTTTTGTTGAGTAGAGTAAACCTTGATAAGTGCTGTGTGTAAAGCTCTGTAAAGATGAGTCTGACCTGTCTGTAAATGATGTTCCTTCGCAGCCCAGGAAGATCACAGCCCCAGCACAGTAACAGTGATGAACAGAGGCTGTGATCTACTTGCTGCTTTTGGGCATGAGTGGATAGAACCCTGCCACATTCCAGCTCCTTGGCCATGGTGCCAGTGAACCTTCCTGTTGGCCAAAGGCAGAAGTGCTATTTTGGGGTCGTTTGTGATCCATGATATCACTTATAATGACTTTGCATGTCTACCCTCAGGTAACAGCAGTTTTTAGGGTACCTGAGGAACTATAAATTAAATTGAATATTTATTTTTAAATTAGTTTTTATATCACTATAGTGAAAGGCTACTTTAATCTAGGGGGAGGCCTTTAAAATTTATCAATTAAAAGACAGGTATAAATTTGAGACTTTTTTTGTCTACTTTGCTCTTGTCAAAATTATTTGTATTTGATGCTGAATTCATATACTTTGAATGGTGGCACATGCCTGTAATCCCAGTGCCTGGGACATAGGCAAGAGGATTGCCAGTTTGGCTTTTAGTTAGTTCTGAGCCAGTCAGGACTATATATATGGTGAGACCCTGTCCCAGCCACCCCCATATCCTGTCCCAAAAAGGTAGCATTCTTTTTTAATGCAGTTTGTAAGTTAAAAAAAAAAATCCTTTGCTCTAAATGGCAATGTCCTTTGTTCAAACTATTTCTGTTAATATTTTAATCAGATTGTCTTGGTAAAGTCATGATAAATATAGCTGATTAAGACTGATAAAGTTTCCTGAAGAAGCTGCTTAGAGTAAACTGTATTCACCCAGGCAGAATGGATCTTTATGACTAAAGATTGTAATGTTGCAAAGGCAAATTTCAATGACTTTTAATGTGTGCTTCTCGTAGTGGTCCCTAACAGCAGCATAGAGCTCTACTGCAGACCATTAGGGTAAAGGTGTTCAATTTATTTCATGAGAATGTGAGCCCAAGTGAACCTTGAGCAGCACATTGTAGTCAGACGGGAGGACTGCTCCTGGATTGCCCACAAAGAGTGCTCTACATTGTTCTGGGGTTCTGGTACCTCCAGTTGAAAGCCCTAACAGTAGACTGGTGAGGTGGCTCTGGCTAAAAGTCCTTGCTATGCAAGCCTGATGACCTAAATTTGGTCTCTGGAACTCAATGTAAAGATGGAAAGAGAAAACTGACTCCACAAAGTTGACTTTTTACACACTCCATGGCAATACAAGCCCCCTTCCACACCATACATATAAAATAAAGATAAAGTTTAAAAAATAAAGTCCTGGCATTAATTAGCATTTTCTCAGAGATTATATCTGACTATGTTCCCACTAAGAACACAAAGAGAACTTGTGTTAACTGCACTTAAGGCTATGAGATAGGTGGTTCTGGGCTTGTGTTTTTACTCAATGGCTTAGTACTACACTGCTGATGGCTGTATTCACAACCGTCCCTGATGACTGGAAGAATCAGTGATGGTTTCTCAACAGTTTGCGTAGTGCAGATGTCTGCTAGATGTCTTTCTTCAGGTCTTACATGGCAGCCATGATCTGTAAATTTGATGATCATGACAAAAGAGGAATAAGAGAAATGAGGTTTCTGTTTTTTTAAAACTACCAACACCGCAGGTCCCTAAAGGACTCAGAGATAGAATGCTGGCCTAACAAGGATGGGGTCCCTAGCACTGTAAAACCAATTTTTTTTTTGTCTCATTTTGGATGTAGTAAAATCATTTAGAAAGGTAAAGTAAGAATATCTTACCATGCAACTGTAATTTCTATTAAAACTTTATTATAACTTATTTTTACATATAAAATGTAGTTATACAGTGTTATACTGTATTGTTTGACTTATCACCACCAATCAACTTTATCTCCCCTTTGCTTTAAAAATAAAGGGAAATAAGGCTGAAAAGATGGGTCAGCTGTTAGAGAGCTTCTGCTTTTCCAGAGACCCTAAGTTCAGTTCCCAGCACCCTTGTCAGGTGGCTCAACACATACCCTCACATAGACACATACACAACATAGTTAAAAGTAAAAATAAACCTTTAAAGGGGGAAATAAAATGTACTTAGATAATTGGCATCCCACAAAATAATTTTTATTGTGGCCAAAAATCAGAACAGTGTGGTTTATTTTATTTCATATTTTCATTTTTTTTTTAACAATGAAAATCTGTTAGGGAAGTAAGAGTATATGTCTGTATTTAGCAAAAAAACAGTAAGGTGAACACTGCAGGATTTACACGATGTCAATCGTGTCTTCCTCAGGCCCTCCAAGGATGTCTCCAAAGGCACAGCGGCACCCTCGGAATCACAGAGTCTCTGCTGGAAGAGGCTCCATGTCTAGCGGCCTAGAATTTGTATCCCACAACCCCCCAAGTGAAGCAACTGCTCCTCCAGTGGCAAGGGCCAGTCCTGCAGGGGGAACGTGGTCCTCAGTTGTCAGTGGGGGTAGGTATGACACTGTCAATATGATATGTGACAGTGATGAGTTCTGTATCATTATAGTCTATGTACAGTAGAGCTGAGCGGAAGATTTGAAAGGAAGTACAGAGTCACATTAAATATGGTGGCATAAGTAGTAGTTGCTGGTTATAAAATATCACAGATGTTCATGACACTAGTTGAAGGAACTGTCCCATCTTTCTGCAGCTCTGTCCCTGTATTCAATTTTCAGCATGTTTCCATGGCATCTGCATGTGGAATAAGCAGATACTCACCTGGTGATCTTCAAGGACTAGTCTACACAGAAGGAAGTTCATCTTTTATGAGTAGCCTGAGAAGAGGCTGACTGTCAGTAACTGTAATGATCAGGTTCATTTGAGCAGCAGATTAGTTAGGCCCAGACTGCTTCGACTATTGTGTTGGTCAGTTCATAGTGTTTTTTTCCAGGACTGCAGAGCTAGAGCTTGTGTCTGCTCTTCTCTTTGTCCTTACTAATTAGCCCATTGACCTTTGCCAGAAGGAGGGTTTTAAGATTAAACAAAAGCCCAGTACTGTTAAGTGTCTGGGTTTTTTGTTTGTTTGTTTGTTTGTTTTGTTTTGTTTGCTACACCCTGTATAGAGTGCAATCATAGTAATTGCCCTATAAATTCTTTTGTGCTGTTTCCCTTGACCTTAACTGAAAATTGAAAAGAAAATAGTAGGTGAGAGAAGAATCTTGAGCTGTTCTCCTTTGACATTAATTGGATGGTCTGGAACTGAGTGAGAGTAAAAACCTAATTGGAAGTAAAAGAGGAGGGACAGTTGCAAGGGATGCACTGAGAATCATGTTAGAGTAATGAACACTTCTGTGATGCTTGTAACTTCACAAAGAAGTCACCAAAGTGATGCAAATTGAACCATTTCCATTAAGCCCTTGAATCTGAACTCTGTAAATAAACAAGTTATTTTGAAGTCATTCATTCTTTCTGTGTTAGATACCCTTTAGGCTTTGTGTCCTAATTTCACTCAGCACCGGCACTGAATCTTGATGTTGCAGGAAAAAGCACATAGTCTGAGCAACATCTACCAAAGGGATTTTAGAGACGTCAGATAGAATAGGGGTCGGTCTGTCTCTCTCTCTCTCTCTCTCTCTCTCTCTCTCTCTCTCTCTCTCTCT